CCCCCGCCGCCACCGCCCCCCCCCCAAACAAGAAACAGGAGGCCCAAGTTTTTATAGACTTCTTTCCGAAAAAAAGAACGATAAATTAATTGATCGATTGATTTGATTCGTTGATTGACCCATTGAAAAAATCAATAACTTGCACTCTTTTCCAGTTAGCAAGAAAAAGAAAAAAAAGAGGATACATTGATACAACCAATTATTGACTTAGGGATGATTGACTAACATGGTCGGATTTATCTGCTGATTGATTAATTGATTGATAGATTGATTGGAATGGATAGATCCTACCGGTCTTCCTCCCAACACAACGCACCCCTCATCAGGCTTGTATTTGAACCGAAACAGGGTTTGTATACATTCATGATGATGACGGCTTACGCTCGGGGAAAAAAGGGCTCGGCTGCGACGCAATTCACGCAAAGCCTTCTTAAAACGAGGAGGTCGAGTACTCGTAATCGATTGATTGTTTAATTGATTATTGTTTAATTGATTGATTGATTGATTGATTAATTGATTAATTGATTGATTGACTGTTTAATTGATTGATTGACTGTTTAATTGATTGATTGATTGATTGATTGATTGATTGATTGATTGATTGATTGATTGATTGATCCAGTGAACTGGATTGGCTGAGAATTGATGGATCGAGTTGATTAACTGATTTACTCGTCTTGTCGTCAGCTGGAGGACGCAAAGACATCAATCATCTGTACATGTCGATCGATCAATCGTCAAGACCGGAGTTCAACTCCCATTACGCTACCAAAACACGATGTCTACAGTTACTCGGCATTTTTTTCTATAATAGCTGAATCATTTCAGAGTACGTGGCTGCTTCTATTTTACATATCCATATTTTTTAACTGGCTGATTTTATTTTTTATTTTTTTCATTTTTTCAATGCACCTTACTCTGAGGTTGTTCTCATCGGATCAGCGAGCAGAGCCTTAACTTTCCTTCCACCTACCCACGCCCCTCCTTGACTATTGCCTCCCTGCACTTGCTTGTTATCTACGGAAAATTTTGGAAAATGGGAAATTTTGGAAATTTTTGGAAAATGGAAAATTTTGGAAATTTTGGAATTTTTTGGAAAATTAAACATGAAAAGGATGGACCTCGACCATCGTGCCAGCGATGAGCCATCCATCGGCGGGTCGAGGCCGCACGCGATCGATCTTTATTATCGACGGACACACCGTCGAAAAATAGAGAATATTGAAATTTTCGGGGATAGTTTGGAAATTTGGAAAAATGGGAAAATTCTATTTTTTTCTAAAACTAAACATCGGTCTTTGTTATCTACGGACACAGCCCTCGAAAATTTTAGAATATTCAAATTTACGGGAATATATTTTGGAAATGTGGAAAACTGGAAAAATCGGATTTTTGTGAAAATTAAACAGAAGAGCGCGTTCTGAGTAATTGGAACACGTGGTAGTGAAATGCGACTTTTCTATTTCGTGTTCGAAAGCTTTTTTTTTTTTTTTTTGGTTAGTCGGCAATTGCTTTCTTCTTTCTCTTTCTTTCGTTATCCATGGACACAGGATAGTGGCCCTCGCCACACCACTCACGACACAAAAAAATTACGTGTATGTTCCACAAAATGCGGTCAGATACGTCGATTACTATAAATGGACGTATCTTGCCATCTTCTTTGGAAATATGCGCTCACTCGTGTTATTTTTCGTTTGGTGAGTGGTGGTGCAGCGAGGCGCAGTATCTCTTTCAACCTAGGCTCCGCTGCTACCGTCTTCCCCCGAACACAACGCACACTTATTTTGGCTGTATCTGGCCGGAAATATAGCTTGTATACATTCATTTTTATGTTCGAGGGCAGACGGTAGTAAGAGAGCTCGGGCGGGGAGATCCCACTAGCATAGAGGATTGGATTAAGCGCCTGCATCTGGACGTGTTTTCTGCAGAAATGCAGCAAACCAGATCAATCGCGATTCTCTGCACCTCTCCACAAACACTTCCAGATTCAGGCGTTAAATCCCATCGTCCTCTTTGCGCCCAGGTGGACAGCGAGCGACCACTAAGCCCTGATCCGTTTTGCCTCTATTTAGTGCCCTGCTCCAAGGGGGGGGGGGGGGGGGGGGGAATTAAAAATTTAAAAAAATTTAAAAAAAATAAAACCCTTAATGCAGGTATTTGGACTGCCTTACGTCATCCAAATACATTGGAACTCATCCAACATTTTGAATGTATCACGACCAGCACGAGATCCAGATGCATTTGCCATATTGTCCCATTGAAGCGCGGACCTAACGGCGACAACAACAACAACAACAACAACGAAACCACCACCACTCTCCAAGGAAAAAAAAAAAAAAAAAAAAAAAAAACCTACCTCCTGAACTGGGCGAACCCCTGCAAAAAGGGCTGTTGGCCATTGAATTCCCTTTTCTTTTCTTTTTTTTTCTTCTTTTTTTTTCTTCTTTTTTTTTTCGCAACTGGATTGCCTCGATCCGACGGACCAAAAGACGGTTACCACACAATAGCGCCAGTTTAAACCCTCGCTGGGTAAGCCGATGCGCGCCTCCTGACATGATGATAATCCCTCCCCTGTGGTCACAAGACGATAACGCTGGTTTAAACCCTCGCTGGGTGAACGACTGCGACAGAAAGTAAGGGCGAGGTCACGCTTGCAAAGAGGATTGCATTAAGCGACTGAATCTGGATGCGTTTTTGGCAGAGATGCCGAAGCGCAGATCAATTGCGACTTTCTGCATCTCTCCAGAAAAAAAGGTCCAGATTCAGGCGTTCAGTCCAATCCCCTCTGCTAGTGGGACCTCGTGCTAAGAGCAAGAGGGCAGGCAGGAAGGGAGAGAACAAGGGAGAGACGGAATGAGAGAGAAAATAGAGCAACGACCACGTGACGCTGCGCGCCACGGTGTAAGAAAAGGCCACTGTGTTTTTTTTCCCCACGGAAAACGGCAGGGAAAAAAAAAAAACAAAAAAACAAAAAAAAAAAACAGACCGGAAGCAACCGATGAAAATGTGAGCACTCTCTTTTGGAACATCCGTTAAAGAGATTGAAACGAGACAGAGAAAGAAGATTAGCATGGCCACTGAGCAAGGATGACACGGATAAGTCGAGAAATGGTTCAACTTCTAAAAAAAAAAAAAAAAAAAAAAAAAACCTTCGGGACATCCATGAAATTCGGAAATTGGAACGATACAGAGCAGATTTTCTTTTATTTTTCCCAAATACATGTAACGTGACATGTTCACATAATCCTCAAAAAAATCGCCACTAGGCCGGGGACCTCACAATTCAACCCGGGGGTTATCCTGGGAGCAAGATTAGCATGGCCCCTGCGCCGCAAGGAAAAAAAAAAAGAACTGCTAAACAGAGAAGGAAGAATAGCATRACCCCYGCGCAAGGAWSCCAACCAWAAAWMRAGAAAWAGWCAAAAAAAAAAAAAAAAAAAAAAAAAAAAAGTGATCACAGCTCCCGATGCATCATTGAATTGGCGATCGGGACCGGGATAAGGCAAGAGCAGGTAATGCACTTCGAGAGACGTTCTCGTTCTTCCCTCCAGTCCCAACAATTCCCCGGGCCCAAGTCCCACTTAACCGAATCCTGAATTTCTGACCGTGGATTCCGACGATCAAACGTTCAGAAATGAAGACTTGGCGTAAGTGGGACTTCGCCACCGGTGAATAGCAAGCATAGCAAGCATAGCGTCTTTCATTTCGTTTAGTTCTTCTTCTTTTCTCTTTCCAGACTAGGAAAAAAACCAACACCCCTACTTCGACAAATCCAACACCCCCACAGTTGGTGCTATTACCTCCCTCCCTCCTACCTACGGTAGTCGTGCTATTCCCTCCCTCTCTCCTCCCTAGACGTGCAATTCCCTCCCTATTCCTTACCGTCTTCACCCGAATAGAACGCCCGGTCATTATCGCTGTACTTGGGGCAACTTTCAGTCTAGATCCAGCCATGATTACCGGGCGTTCTATTCGGGTGAAGACAGTAGGCGTCCTACTCCCTCCTCCTTACAAATCCTTACACATTTCCAAGGAGTTCTCCGAGGTGGCAAATCCAATAGACAACCACTATTCCAGCCAAGGGCTCCTCCCTAGTCGTGCTATTCCCTCCCTCCTCAAAGGTGGCAAATCCAATAGACAGCCACTATTCCAACCAAGGGCTCCTATCGATTGACAGCCCAGCTATAACGCAAGCACGTAGCTGCAACAAAGCTTACACTAAAATCCCACGTACGGGAGCGACGCAAGAACAAAAGGACGGCGAGAGAGAGAGAGAGAGAGAGAGAGAGAGAGAGACGGAGAGAGAGAGAGAGAGGGAGAGAGAGAGAGGAAGAGAGAGAGAGAGAGAGAGAGGGAGAGAGAGAGAGGCAGAGAGAGGGAGAGAGGGAGAGAGAAGGGGAGCCATGGAGGGGATAGGGACGATTGGAGGAATGATGTGAAGAGCTGCAAGACGAAGCCTTTGCCTGCGTGTCCGGCTGAAAGGGGCGACGGGCAAAATTTTAAATATATACATTATATATTATATATAAGATATTAGATATAGTCAAACAGAGCTGCCCGGTACACCGTGGGCAGATAGGGGTATAATATAGATATATATAATGATAATAATAATAAAAAGAAAGCGGCGACGACGGATATGATGAGAGTGCGGGAATTCTGCGGTGTCCGACTGAGCGTCCCAGCACATTGAGCTCGTGGGTCCAGCTGGAACGTTGGGATTGGGACGGTACCGAGGGATGGGACCGAGGGAAAATTTGAGCGCCCTCAAGCTGACCAGACAGACCACAGGCGGCACAATGCCCGGGCAGGGTGAAGTCATTCATAACATAGAAGCCCAGCGGGCAGGCTAAGGGACTACCAAAGTTGCACCACTCGCCATCCGCCAAGATTCTGAATGCATCTGGACAGAAAGGGCGTCCATATGCATTCAAACCTTTGCCGAAGGGCGAGTGGTGCAACTACCGAGGCCCTAAGTTTTAAGTAAAGGTCGCACTCACAGTTATTCCCGGCCCTGAGTAAATCGGTCGCAGGCGCATTGCTATGGAGCAGAGGCGTCTCGTCGTCTCCCCCGGCGTTCTTAGCCATCACCGCTTTCTTGGTAGATGATACCCTTCTCCGGTACTTCCCTCCTCCTCCTCCTCCTCCTCCTCCTCCTCCCTCCTCCTCGCCATCGCCTCCCGGCAAGTGCACGTAGTGGTCATTGGTGTCTGCCCCACCAGGACGCTTCTTCTTCAGCAGGTACATGCCTGACGACCGCACTGCAAAACACCTAAATCAGTCGGGATCTCGATCGACAGACAGCTGGCCCGCTCAAACCCCTGCAGACACACCCGGCGCTCTCCGATTGCAGCGAGGGCACCCTGTTGGCCCCGATTTTGCCGCCCCAAGCCGGGGACCAATCAACAGCACAGACGAAGAGATGCCCCACGCCCCCCGGCCCCCACACCGCAATGGCCGCCGCCGCACACGGCGCAAGCGCGCACGCACCCACCCGAGGCGAGAGACATCAGCGACTCCGACCTTGCTGTGCTGCGCTGCGCACGGATGGGCGAAAGCACGGCCGGCAAGCCAACCCAGCGGGCGGAATGGATACATACATATATATAGGTATGATATATGACAAGACATGGGGAATGAAGCGCCACCGAAGAGAACGAGATCGGAACCGCGGCACGAGCGGGAGCTGACATGGGCAGGAGCCACGTGGGCGGCGCCAGCGGCCAAGCCGAAACTACACTATTCAACTTCTGGCGGGAGAGCGCGAGGGAGGGCCTCGCTCCACTGCTCTCCAAATGTGCAAAACGAGAATCGTCTGGGCGAACATGGAAAGGTACACCGCCATCATTTTTGTCGTATGTGGAGAGTAGTGGAACGATGCCCAGAGACTCACGACAAGCGGGCGGGCCTCGCTCCACTCCGTACCACCACAGATGAGTCAAAATGAGTGAGCAGGAATCTCATCGAGAACACGGAAATGGAGAAGTACAACTTCGTAACTTTTAACTTTTGGCTTGTTGTGCATCTCGTGAGTAGTGGAGCGAGGCCCATCAGCGGATCGTGTCTGTCCCCGCTCGCGGCACCCCGAATGCTGCTGGGGGCCTGCATGTCAGGGACGTCAGTCTGACCTTGTCACCTCTGGTTATCCGCAATTTCTTTCTTCCCGTTCCCCCCACCTCCCTCCGCCTTCTTTTTTCACTTTCATGTCACCCTCTGGCCCCGCGCAAACTGGCCAACCCTCTTGATTCACCGTGTCAGAGACAGCGATGAAAGCCCAAAACAGCACCACTTGGGTCTGTCCTCTTAGGATCAGTCAGATCCCACTACCCTGGATCATTCATTTTTCATCCTAGATTACGAAGATCAACGGTCAGAAATGAACAATAGGGGCTAGTGGGATCTGGCCCTCAATGGGGTGATGATTCCTCCCTAGATCGTGCCTGTAGGCTGCTCTTGGTTTTATGGGGGGCTGTTTGCAGCTGGAAGGGAGGCTGCGCTTGGCCCACAGGGTTCTGTGATCCCTTTTTTTCTAAGGAGGGGGGGGGGGGGGGGGGGGATAGCATTTATATATTTCAAAAGCATCACTTGGAGGCCTGGAATCCCTCCACAAGTCAACCCCCAGTAGTGGGGCCATTACCCAGCTTAGGCTCATGCTCTAAGCTGATTTATAGTAATCGGGGCCTCCTTGTCCCCAATTGCGCACCAAACCCATGGTGACAATCTGAGCTTTTCCTGCACGGGCCCACAAACACAGAGGCTAACTGGCTCTTGCAAATGGTCGGGCACCAGTTGTTAAACCACCAGTCCCCCCGCCGCCGTAAACCCTCGAACTACCGGTAGGCCCGCATCGGCCTGTATTTTTCGGTACACCGGTCGCTTGCAGCCTACCGGGTCCAGGTTCAATTCGTGGTACCCGAATGAAACAGTCGGCACTCCCCAACACGATGTCCGAGCTGTTCCCCCCCGACATCGAATTGACCGCCCCAACCGATTTTTCCATTCTCATAAAAAAACGAAAAATGTTGAGTCTTTTGTTTTTCCTGATATTATCGTGATTTTTATCGTTTTTGTTATTACATTTTTTTGTCTTTTTTTGTTGTTGTTGTTTTCACATTCCTGGCAACCGCCTGGGAAAGGACACCATCGAAAGGCCACCATCGTTTCAGGTCTGACGCTCGGCCTCGTGTCCTGTCGCCATGCCCTTCCGAAAAGCCAGCGATGGGTGGCCGATCTTCGTCCACGTGTAAGTTTCCCACGTGGCGTCGTATCGTCGCGGATGAAACCGTGCAGCCAGCCATCTATTGCGACCCCCCACCTACTCCCCGCCCCCCAGCCGTTGCACCCATCCGATGTGGTGACCCTATCTCGAACGGCTGACGTGGTGGGGACGTTCTGACGCCCAACCTTACGCCTGGCGCGACTTCCTGGTCGGAGTGGGATGTGGGCCTGGAAGTGCGAAAAGGGGTGTGCCAAGGATTTTTGGGGAAAGTGGGGGTGGAGTCCCAGGTCGGAACTGAGATCTCATGTGGCAAGGGTTCAGGGGCATAGGTGCAATAGGACTAAGGGGTGGGTTACTTCCGGTCTGATGATGGCGGTCGACGTCGTGCAGCATAAGGCAGATGGCATGCGTGGTGCGTTAAGGGTCGTCCGATCCGTCTATTTTGGTGACAGTGGTTCAGGAAAGGCCTGTTCGTGAGGGTCACGATTCCTATGAGTTGGATCTTCGGGGGCAGACACGTGTCGCCTGTCGCCTCACGTTATAATTAGGCTTCGTAGTTCCAGGGATTAGACGGTTGCTGCGTTGTCTGCAGTTTCTGCATGGCGTGCGGGGCCAATACGAGCTGATGGAATTCCACGGTACCACCGTGAGTTGGTGATACGGAAGGAGGAGACGGAAGGGAGGGAAGTTCGTAGTGATGATGACAAAGCCGGGGGATATGAAGTATTGCGTGTTATACATAGTTGGGTAATCGGGGCACCTTGGATCGCTGGTTACGGCACAGTGAAACTCTCTGGGACACAATCGTTTTCTGGGTGTCTCTGCCTGAGATATTCTCTTATCCAAGGTTCGAAGTACCCTGAGTCCCCTGAGTCTGACATCTTGTCATTGTTGCGTAGTGGAAGCCTTTCGTACGCATCTAACTGGTAAGGGGGTTTCTCGATATAATATCGGAATTCCCATCCGTTGAGGTGCGTGAAAGAAGGAAAATTCTCGCCTATCCGATACGGAGGTGTCAAATGGTCGCGGATCGCCACGCGTGGATACGTATAGGCTGCGCAGATCAGATCGCGCTTATACGTAACCCTGCGAGGTGCCCGCTTGTTACGGGAAAGGTGAATCGCCACGCGACATGGACAACTACCCAATCATCTAATCACTCAGTGATCCCACAAGCAGTCATTCCCGAGCATGCAAGGTGTCATTATACATCAGACATCGCAACAACATCAAAACTCATATTCTGCTCACAACGCATAAAAATGGCAAGCAATAATGATGACCAAACAGGAAAACCGACCAAACATGACATTCATTCATCCACTCATTCGACAAAACATACMATAAACGAGATCAAAATCAATCGCAAAACAAGTGTKSGTTGAAGCCAAAACCAAGATTCTGAAAASAAAAGATGGGYGAATCSCCYTGAGCCGAGATCAAAACTTATATACAAGAGTAAGGAGGGAGACGAGACAAAGAAAATTGCAAATCCACGTCCATCAACCTCAACTCTCTCCTCCTCTCTCTCTCTCTCTCTCTCTCTCTCTCTCTCTCTCCGATGCGGACAGTCCGTCGTCACACACCAACCCACGAAGTCGTCATCCCGCTTAGTCCTCCTGCACTCGTTAGGTTCGCCCGCGCGTTACAGTCCGTCGTAGCCCCACGCGTCAACCCCGCGCATTCGGCACCAGCTCGTCGAGTCGCCCGACTCCCACTTCAACTCACCTCTTACTTCGCTCGTGAGTCAAACCTCACCGATCACGCTATTCCGAGCTTCCAACAACTGGTTAAGAGAGCCATCTAATCGCGCAGCGGAAATTTATAGCGTGTATGCATGCGCGAAGAACACGGAATTGCGAGGACTTAGGAAGGGATTGCCTACGTTCTTCATGGCCAGACCGCGGCTTGGGGGACGTAGCCACTCTCCACGCATCGATCCGAGCATGCAGGCCGCGGGCTAACTAGGCACAACAAAAGGGAAGGAGGGGGCGGGAAAGACGAAGCTCAAGAAGAAAGATACAGTTACAATGGCGTCCGCCCAAAATTACAGTTACTTGCAAGATTAAGGGCGTCGACTAATCAGAGCTCCGTTGCAGCCACAAAAAGAAGCCCGTAAGCAGAAGGCGTTGAGCGGCAAAAGAAAATCCTAAATTCCTAAATTCCTATCTAATGAGAAAATGCAAAAAACACAAATTCCGAAAAGAAAGTCCGAAATTTCGAGAGCCATCAAGGCTTGACAAGATTCGAAAAGAAAATTCAAAAAGAACGAAGCAAAATTCCCGCGCGACCTCCGCGCCTAAGACCCGACAACAGAACAAGAAAGAAGCGACGTCAAACATTATTATTCGCGCCTTTGTCGGCGCGACAGCCTACTCAATCGGCCATCTCGGGACTTGCTCGGCCTTGAACCCAGCCACTCGAAAAGAAGCGACGAAAAAGAAAAGACAAAGAAGCAAGACACCGATGCAATTTCCCTTCGATCCCAATCTCCCGTAATTGGCCCATCCTTCCAATCTTAGGACCCCTCATTATCATCGCGCAGACAATCGCGGGGGACAAAAATTGGTTTGTCACATATGTGACGCCCAGGGGGTTCCAATCTTAAGCAAGCTCCCGCTTGCTTGAATCATGACACGTGTGGATCTCTCTAATAGATCGATACGTGGAGCCTTCTTTGTGCCACTTACTGTTCGACAAGAGTGTGAACGTCATTCAGGGTGGCACACCCGTGGCTTCATCCTATAATTGCCTCAAGAAGGGCTCTCTTCAGTCCAAGGAGGGAATCGTGCGTGCCATCGCAGTGGCACGTGCCAATCAATCGTTCATCAATGACCTAAGGGAAGGGGAAAGGGAAGACGATACATGGGGGCATGGCGCGGGGGTAGAAAGTGTTCCATCCCTGCGACTGTCACCGGAAGCTTTTGATATCGGATGATCCGGTGGAAGCGAGGGAATCGATTACCACTATGAGGGAGGAAGGCGAGATAGTCGGGATAAAGGGTGGTGAAAGCTCGGAAGAGTGCTGTGTGGAAGTGATCGTGGTTTTCGCATGCAGGGATAGTCTCCGTGATCATGCAATAAACCTCGATGATGCTGTGACCTCGCCACGCGGCAGTGAAGAGAAGGGCGTGGAGATAGAAGACAGGGGTGGCACACCGGGTAGAGGGATGGGGATGAACTGTGACAACAAGGCGGGTGGCGTATAAGAAGCGGAAGGTGTCGATTGGGAAGGGGTTGCAGGGGAAGGTGATGTGGGTAGTGATCTGGCGGAGGGTGAAATAGTCAAGGGGACGATGGGATAAGGACTGGGGACGAAGCCTGATGGCCCGCATTGGTACGAACTCGAATTGGTGGACGGGCAAAGGTGGAGGGGGAGGGGAATCGGCTTCGTCGCCGTCGGGCCGATGCGCTCGAAGTCTTGGCAGCAAGGTCCCCATCGTCGTTCTTGGGCGGCTCGGGATGCTTGGCTGGGTCGTTCGGGATCGGCTGGTCCAGTCCGCTTGCGAACTCCAGCGGCTGCTTCCCGGCTGCTATCTCCTCTCTCCTTCGCGCTGTCTCGGGATCCTCCTCTTGAGTTTCTGCGAGATCCGCCTCTTCACCCAAAGTCTCCCACTCAGATTCCTCGTCTTCCTCCAACTGCTCCTCCTGTTCTTCTTCTTCTTCTTCCTCTTCGCCCGACTCTTCCTCGCTGTATTCACTGTAACTTCCTGCTTCTTCAGAGGTTTCCTCTTCTCCCTCCTCGTCGCCTTCCTCTACGCCCTCTTCTGGGATCTTATCAACCCAACACAAGGGACACAACCAAGGCTTATCGCCATTTCTGTACTGGATGCACGAGTCGTGCGACACACTGTCGACAATCTATCCATTCTACATACCCTTCCCCACTAGGACGGAGAGAAGGTTAACAACAGTCGGATTTTTCATCACCACTTCAGGACACCCTTCACCACTTGAGGATGCAACCTGCCTAAACAGGTGGTTTTCAAGGTCTTCGGACCTTTCACCACTTCAGGACCATTCAGGAATGAAAATCCTGAATGGTCCTAAAGTGGTGAAAGCTCCGAAGACCCTGAAAACCACCTGATTAGGTAGCCTGAGGCTGCATCCTCAAGTGGTGAAGTGTGGTTTTCATGGTCTTCGGACCTTTCACCACTTCAGGACCATTCAAGATTTTAAGACTGCCCAGAACTCTCACTTGACCACTTCAGGACACCCTTCACCACTTCAGGATGCAACCTGCCTAAACAGGTGGTTTTCAAGGTCTTCGGACCTTTCACCACTTCAGGACCATTCAGGATTTTCAGACTGCCCAAAACTCTCACTTCATAATTATCATTCCTGAATTTTCAGCTACCCGATAACCGCTTGTGCTAGGACGCATAGGGATCGAGTAGACGCGCGAGATCGCTTCACAAAAATAAAGAGGTTAACGGGGAATCTGATTTTCAGACCTGAAATTTCTGAAATTAGTGTTTTGGGCTCAAATTTCATGTTTTTTTGGAATTTCAAGTTTTTGCTATATATGCATTTTGATAGGGTTGCCGTATATGAAATTTGGGGTTATTTGGAGTTTTAGAATTTGCGCTATTAAGATTTCTGAAATTTTTGAAATTGGTCGAGTTTTTTTTGGGCCAAATTTCATGGAAATGCACCTTTGGCTTGTTGTTTTATATGTTTTTAATTGCTTTTTTTAGGGGTTTTTTCTGTGATGGGGTCGTAAGAAGTGCACTCTATAAATTGGTGTGAAGTGTTGTTAAAATGACTGTCTAGTTTTCTTATAAATGGGCCTGAAAAATGGGTGCTCGGTTAACCTGCTCTCAAAATTTCTCGGGTAGGGAGAGCCTGAGGAAAGATGAAGATGAGAGGGGAAAGAGAGGAGTTGTTGGATTATCTTCGTCACCCATTGCCAATCGCCTGCTTCTTGTCACGTGGAAGGATTGCCACTTGTCTGTACTTGGGTTCGTTGGCTGATTCTGGCTCCTTCCACGGAATGATTTCTTCTCCCTTAGGTACCTTAGCGGGGCGATGCAGACGTGTCAACTCGTCTGCGTTGCCGTGCCTCTCTGTCTTTCGATGGATGATGTCGAAGTCGTATTCCTGTAGGCGCACCGCCCACCGTCCAATCATACCCGTGTAATTAGTGAGCTTCTTGAGAGCCAGTAGTGGCTCGTGATCAGTTACGAGGAGGAACTTCTGTCCGTACAAGTACGGATGAACGTGCTGAATTTCCCAGACTATGGCATAACATTCACCCTGCGGGGCTGAATCGTTCCTTCGTTCGTGTGACACCGTACGGGACGCATACTCGATGACGTGCTCTCGACCGTCGTTCCCCTTCTGCGCTAGAATAGCAAAGATCGTCTCTGGCTGCCAGTCCGTGATAAGAATGAATTGCTTCGTAGGGTCTGGCTGGATCAAAATAGGTGTTGTCACCAAAGCGCCCTTGAGGGTGGCGAAGGTGTGTTTGCACTCTGCGTCCCAACTGAGGGGTTGATCCTTTTGCAGCAGATTCGTCAGAGGTCGTGCAATCGCAGCGAAGCTTTTGATAAAACGACGGTAGTACGATGCTAGTCCCAGGAAAGCTCGAACTTGCGTCACTGACGTGGGGACATGAGCATCTTTCACCGTCGCGACTTTCCTTGAGTCTGGTCGCAGTCCTCCACGTGTCACCACGTAACCCAATAACGAGATTTCCGATAGGAAAAACTCACTCTTCTCGAGCGCGATCTTAAACCCAGCGTCTCTCAGAGCTCCCAATGTCCATTCAATGTGTTGTGCATGCGCGTGAAAGGTTTTCGAGTAGGCGAGGATGTCGTCCATGTACACGATGACGCAGAAGTTAATCATCCCTTGAGTGAGTCGCGTCTTGTTGACGAAGTTTTGGAACATCACGTTCATAGCCCGTTGAAATGTGGCACGCGCGTTGCAAATCCCCATCGGACATCGAACCCACTGTAACGTGCCTTCAAATAGTACGAAGGCCGTTTTCGGCCGATCTTCCTTCTTAACCAGGATGTGATGGAAACTGTGGCGGATATCAAATTTTACTGAAATAATTAGCACACCCAATCGCATCTAGCAAGTCATCAATTCTGGGAAGGGGGTACACATCTTTAATTGTGATGTCATTCAACTTGCGATAATCAATGCATATGTGAATCGATCCGTTATTTTTCGGCACCAATACTACTGGGAACGACCATGGCCCGGTGGCGGGTTCGATCCAACCATTAACTTCGAATTCCCGAATCCGCTCAAGGGCCGTTTTTCGTTCAACCAGGGAGTATCTGTAGGGCTTACAGTGAATCGGGGGATGGTTTCCGATTTGAATCTCGTGTTGTATGACTAACGACAGTCTAATGTCTGTGTCCATAAGACTAATCGCTCCTTTGTATTCTTCCAGAATTTTAACGATTAGATGATGGATCTCATCAGGCACATATTGGGGCATGTGCAACTCGTACAACTCATCCCATATTCGTACATCGATACGTTTTGTACTCACTCGCTTAGTGTTTTCAGGCGGGGCGCAGAAATAAACGAATTATCTGATCGCCAGGAGAATACCGTAGCCATCATCTGTGCATACTGTTCCCGAATGACCACGTGTTCCGGCGTTATTCCGTCTCGGAGGTCCTGCCATGGCACTGGTTTCGTTGCGATTTTAATTCTGAGCCCAGTTTCGAGGCGCTCAGGGGGTTCCAAAGAATTGGTCTCTGCCCTTAAACGTATCAATCGTATATCTTTTGCAGGTGTCAAAAGAGTTTGTGGGAGATTCGTGATATCGCAGTAGTGCCTTTTGTCATTATATCGTGCGAGTAAAGGGGAAATACCTTCGTACAGGGTTCGAGGGGGTTCCAAAGAATCGACCATCCTCGAAATCTGCACGAGGGGTTCACCCATAATCATAGCTTGCGTTCTTTGTAGACTCTGATCAGTCAGGCTTAGCGATCTTGTATTTGCTCGTTGCACAGGGTAATAGATACGCTGTCGCGCCATTTCCAGAATTACTGGATCGTCCTCATCACTATTGTCCGCGTCCTTCAGAGATGGTTCACCGTTAGCAGGGTTATCCCAGGTAATCACGCAGAGAGTTCCCGCCATCATGGGAGAAACTCGCGGGGTTACATTAGCCATAATTCGAAGAGTCAGTCTCATAGGTACAACATAGGGCTTTCCTCCTGTATTACGGAGGACAATGGATCGTCTTTCGAAATCCAGATTGGCTCGCAAAGCCACAAGAGCGGGAAGGTCAAAAAGGACGTCGTAAGGACTTACGTCTAAAACTAAGACATCTCCCAAAGCATGTACTTTCCCTAATTGAAAAGCAACATTGGTCATCCGTCCCACCGTCTTAATCTTTTCTTCGTCTGCTGAAACGAGATGATCTTTTTCCGTAAGCATGATTAGATCGTTCTTTCTACCTGCCCTTTCAACTACCCGCAATGAGATAGCTAGGACAGCGGCTCCGAAATCAATGATAGCGTTGTACGGGATTCCCCATACCTCGATATCGCATTTTGCGGATTTCCATGGTATTGGTTTAATCCGTAGGAAATGATCACCTTTTTGAATCAATCCTAACCGTATCAGGTCTAAAGTACCTGCTGTATTCTCATCTGGCGTGGGATTTTTCACTTTTGTGCTCGCTGTTCGGGCAAGGGCGAATCGTTTCCGGTTTGCCTTGCAATGTTGCAGCATTCGTTTGTTGGTTTGTTCCGATATCGAAAGTAGAGGACCAATCGGAAGACGAATCCGATGATCTAGAGCTCGTACGATGTTCATAACATCGATTTCTCCCGTGACGAAGGTGGGTCCTCCCGACTCCATTTCCCCTGGAGAAGGTCGCCATTCCGACACTTCCCATTGTTCTAGCGCGGGTCTAATCGTTCCAATCATCCCAAGCCCCGGGTAACCAACATTACATACTGATCCAATGAGATTAGTTCAGCAGTTTCCTCCGTCGTAGCTAATGTGTTTCCGCCTCCTTCCATTTCTTCCATCAGTGCCCTTACCCGTCCAGGTCCGTTAGCGATCGGGGCTGCTGCTACCGATGCGGCTCCGACTCGCTGCTGCGGGGGTCAATGAGGGCAATCTCGGGCTATGTGCCCAGGTTGATGACACGTGTAACAAACATTTAGATTCCCAGGGATCCCTGCGGGAGGGGGTGTCGGAGCCAATCCGTGTTGAATCGGGGCGGCACGCACCGCTATTGGTCGCATCGACCTCATCATTGCCTCTATCCGAGCATTGTGCTCCCGCTGTTCCTTTTTGCTTTCCTGAATCAGATTGGCCAATGTTTTGGTTAGTTCCAATAGGGCGGAAGACTCATTCGGTCGTGCGGGGGTTTCGATCGGAGGCGGGGGTGCCATCATTACAGGAACGAGCATGCTTGTAATCACACTCGGGACCGGTCGTTTGGGACCAATCTGTTCTAGATAGGTGACTGGGCCCGACACAAACCCCATGTTTTCAAATTTGTTTTGTAGTGCAGCCAGCTCAGCTTTAACTCTCGCTAGTTCGGACGAGTCTCCTTATCCAGGGTAGTCTTCCCCTTCTAGGAAACTCGCAGCGAACTTTCGTTCCATTTCCTCTTCGGCTGCCATGATCTGTTGCAACGTGTTATTGATGGGGGAAAACTGTTTTTGCAGTTTTGCCCTCATCGTTCTGCTGTGGAGCCCATCGATAAACAAATCTCTTCCTACCTGTTTGCCTCGTTCCGTTTTCACAAACATCCTATGGAATCGATTTCGATACTCGGTGACAGATTCGAGGGGGTTTTGAACCCGGTCTTTAATCATGAAAAAAGCCTGTTCCGGGTGGATATAATCAAACCTGTTCAGAAAATCTCGCTCGAATGTCGGGAGATCGACCCATACATAGGTACTGAACCAATGATGAGCGTCTCCTCCCAATCGAGCGGGAATGTTCACCTGTGCCTCGTTGTCATCGTACTGCTTAGCCCGGAGCGTGGCCAGCCATGCTCCAGCGAGGTGATGAGCGGTATCAAACAGATAGAGATCAGGTGGCGTCATAGGAGTCCGTGCTCGTGGTGCGGGTTGATTAGGATTTACCGGTTGGTTGGGGTTTTGTTGTGGATTCGGGCTCTGTTGATTAACATTCATGTTGACCGCCCGTCGAGCTGCAGATTGGCTTCTAGTAACGACGGGGTCGCGTTGATGTGCGTTTCGGGGTTGAGGTCGTCCCCTGTTAGCCAGATCGCTTAGTTTGTTGTCCTACGAACCCTGTAACCCTGCCACGTGTCGGGCTCCGATACCAACCTCACGCCCTGCGCGACTTCCTCATCGGAGTGGGATGTGGGCCTAAAAGTGCGAAAAGGGGTGTGCTAAGGATTTTTGGGGAAAGTGGGGTTGGAGTCCTAGGTCGGAACTGAGATCTCCTGTGGCAAGGGTTCAGGGGCATAGGTGTAATAGGACTAAGGGGCGGGTTTCTTCCGGTCTGATGATGGCGGTCGATGTCGTGCAGCATAGCAGATGGCATGCGTGGTGCGTTAAGGGCCGTCCGATCCGTCTGTTTTGGTGACGGCGGTTCGAGAAAGGCCCGTTCGTGAGGGTCGCGATTCCTATGAGTTGGATCTTCGGGGGCAGACACGTGGCACCTATCGTTGTGCGTTATAATTAGGCTTCGTAGTTCCAGGAATTCGGTGGTTGCCGCGTTGTCTGCAGTTTCTGCACGGCGTGCGGGGCCAATACGGGGCGACGGAATTCCACAGTACCACCGTGAGTTGGTGATACGGAAGGAGGAGACGGAAGGAAGGAAAGTTGGTAGTGATGACGACAAAGTCGGGGGATATGAAGTATTATGTGTTATACGTAGTTGGGTAATCGGGGCACCTTGGATCGTTGGTTACGGCACGGTGAAACTCCCTGCGACACAATCGGTTTCTGGGCGTCTCTGCCTGAGATATTCTCTTACCCAAGGTTCGAAGTACCCTGAGTCCCCTGAGTTCGACATCTTATCATTGTTTCGTAGTGGAAGCCTTCCGTACGCATCTAACTGGTAAGGGGGTTTCTCGATATGATATCGGAATTCCCATCCGTTTAGGTGCGTGAAAGAAGGAAAATTCCCGCCTATCCGATACGGAGGTGTCAAATGGTCGCGTATCGTCGCGCGTGGATACGTATAGGCTGCACAGATCAGATCGCGCTTATACGTAACCCCGCGAGGTGTCCCCTTGTTCCGGGAAAGGTGAATCGCCACGCGACATGGACAACTACCCAATCATCTAATCACTCAGTGATCCCACAAGCAGTCATTCCCGAGCATGCAAGGTGT